AACACATGGGATTTGCCACATTTCTGAAATTCGGTGCCACCCCTCACGCAGATCCGCGGGGTCAGGGTCCAAAAACACAGGGGATTTGCCACATTTCTGAAATTCGGTGCCACCCCTCACGCACATCAATCGCAAGGCGTGGTAACCCAAACTGCGAGTACTCCCTCGGCCCTTTAATCCCAAGGTGTGGCAACCAAGCTCGTAAACCATACACGTCTTACCAATCGCCCTGTATGGTAACCCCTCTTGTGATCAGTTGGTTTTGCCGATTGCGAATCGGCCTCGCATGAAGTTCCGATACTGCTGCACGACAGCGCCAAAGCCTCATGACTTAGCTCTTCCATTGCCCATTCTCCGAGAGAGGGGGCCGGCGGCAGGGGGCGAAGCCCTTACGGATACCTAATGTATATCTTCGGCTGTGCGGACCGCCGCGGCAATCCGTGCCTCTATTGCACATCTACAGTGCGTACATGCTACCGCCACGTCACGTTTGAAGACAAGCACACAGCAACAGCAGAAATCTTTCCGATCACAAATGTCTAGTGGAATACACAAATACACACATATCCCAACAATTGCACCGATGGTGTGCGTATCCGTCCAAAATGTATCTCTCGCCCCAGAGCCGCTCAGTCGCGTTGCAAATTTCAACAACTGCACGGGGGAGGGTGTATGACTTTCATGTTGTGGCTCTTGCCGTGAAACCTCGCACTTTCGTCATGAACCTTCCCAATCATTACGCGGATGGGCACATCGCTTTCACAATGTGCCTCAGTGCCCGGTACGCCTGTCTTAAATGCCCACAGCTGTTATGCACATGGATCGAAGGCGGCTCGTTCTCACTCGGAGCATCCCTTCATACCTGCATGGGATCTAGTACTCGATGTTGAACAAACGCGAAACGCGCGCAATATGGTGCAGAAGAAATATAATTACAACTCCTTTTTCAATATGGGGCTCTCGCTTGAGACTTGATTGATTTTTGATCATGGGTTATTTTTCGAAACGGGGATCTAGCTGGACACGTCCTTGCGCTTCTAGGTCCGTGCCTCGTTGCACTTCTTGTCGCTAGAAAGGGGGGCGGTTACTTTGCAACATGGGGCTATAACAAAATTGCTTGCTCGAAACGGGGGTCTCGCTAGGCGCGCCGTTCAAGTTGTCTGGCCGTACCACCCTGCTTTCCTTACCGCTCGGAACATAGAAGGCCGACCCTCTTTAAAACGGGACTCTCGCCGGAATGGCAGGCCCATGGGGCGCCCGTCCTGCAACTACGAAGAGACTTCCAGCATTGAGGATTACTGCTTGGAGGAACTTCTGAGGGGATTGGGGACGGGAGGGTGTGTTGCAGCATCGCTGACGCATCCTGGATGTACGCTGGTCCTCCTCCTCCTCCTCCTCCTCCTCCTCGTCGCCCTCCTCCCCTTCCCCCCCTGTCGCGGGGTGACCACGTGAAAAGAAAACGAATTGTCATGCAAGCAGGACCTCTGAAACGCCAGCGGGGGAGGGGGCGACATATTCGGAAGGACGCCTGCAGCCAGGTGGATCCCTGCCGGGGTGCCCAGTACAGTACAGTCCAGGTGCCTGGGATGTACGAGGAACGCTGGAGGATCAACTGTGGAGGGACCTATGGAACACCGAGCCCCCTCCGACGCCGAACTGTTCCATGTCTCAGCGTCATGACTGCGCCCATTAATCCAAAATGAGGTGATCGGCTTAACCAAATATTACGCCTTAGGCGTAGTATTCGTTTAACCCTGCTTATTGTAGTAGCGATGGAACAAGAGGTAGGAGATGGCCGCGTGAGCGGCAAGGGGACATCTCAAAATATTGTTTCCCGTATCGATGTCAAATAGTGTGCGGCAGACCTGCCCAGTCAAATAGGCGGCCAGTCGCTTGAGCCCACGCGGCGCGCAAACAAACGCTCGATACAGGCTGCCCTTCCTCCTTCAAAATCGAGGGGGAAAAGACGAAACGTGAATCCGCGTCCGGCCATTTTCGGTAAAACAGCTAATTTACAAAAGGAAAGGCAGCAGCCAACGGGCTCAAGCTTAGCAGGTTACCCCGCAATTTAATACTCCTCAGGCGCCTCAGATGGTTTCGTCCGGCCGGCCCTGTAGGGAGTATGTCGCTTCAAAGCATGCTTGAAATATCGCATTCCTCCATAATTTGCAAGAGCATATCTCGATCGATGCTCCCCTTGGTGTGACCATCTGCCGTCATGTCGCGGGAGTCGCAGCACTGCGCGCTAAGCACGACACCGCGCTCCATCATTTGCCGCATCAAACTGATGTGGCCCAGGAGGGTACATTCAGTCGGTTTCTTCAGGTCTTTGCTCGACAGAGATTTGAATACATATTCCACATCAGCGACCAGGGTAAACTTAATGCTGAGGCCGCTCATCTTAATAATATATCTTAATTGAATGGGTGTCAGCGGCCCTGCGTGGAGTTCATGTAGCGTAACGATCGCGGGGTAGCAGTCCTCCAAGTCATGGGCTGTTGCTAGCGCTTCAGCCGAACAGCTAGAGCGGACCTGCAAGCGGTGAGACTTGCAATGCGCGTCGACAAGATGGACAGCAGGCTCACCAGCATTCGTGTGTCCACGCCTTAGCAGGTTTGCCCCGCGAAAACCATGTCCTTTGACCCCGTCATCGGCGTCGCCGTTCAGGCGACGATCGCCGCGGGTCTATCTC